CCGGTATGTTGTTTGTGTTAAGACTGAATTTGGTGAAATCCAATCAGAAGATGCTACCTAATCAATGACGTTTTCCATACCTTAATACCCGGTAGTGCATTGTATATCGCACATAAATTAATTATCTACACAACTATAATCTGTTAGATAAAGACGGTGATTACAGGAATAAAATCTTAATGGTTATGAATATGTAAATTAGTAAGAAACCAAATGTAGTCAAAATTACAACTGATATGCATAAATGTAATATATACATAGATTTTGCAGCAATGTAGTTGTCGATTTAACGCATAGAAAATAACAATAACTGTTTACAGTGACACATTCCCCATAACATAGGATTACTGCCACCAATAGTTTCTGTGCAATATTTTCAAAATCTTATAACGCTAACTCAACTGTTGGGAGGTCAAACTTTACTTGAGTTTTTGTTTGTTGACACAAAGTTGTGAGTGCTGCCATGATGAATTCGGGATCATGGGTACAAACCACATTGAAGGCGCAAATGAAATTCAGAGTGTTTATAGTATTTATTTTCAATTTCCTGGGTTGTTTGGAAAGATCTAAATGCGGCAATGTGTCATTTTCTGTATCCGTGACATTCCATGATAATGTATTACTTGCGAACTTTAATGTAATATCATCTGGAATTAGTTTTATAGGAGTTCCCGAAAACTTTACTGTAATAGTAGGCGTGAATATTTTCGCCCAAATGTCAGGTGTTATTTGTGACTCTAAAAATAAAACAGGAAACCCAAGCGAATGTGCGACCTCCTGAAAAGTTGGTTTAAATGCCAAGTGTATACTTTCAAGAGACTTGATGTTTTGAAGTTCACATTCACGACCCCTTTTTAAAATATTGTTTTTACATTCAGACCAAGAAAGACTTTGAAAAATGATTATGTAATAGCAAGATGAAAATAGATCAAAAACTTCAGGTTTCAATTGCTCGTATATTTGTGGATACGATTTTGGATTATATATTTTGAAATATGTAAGATGTTGAATTAGGCTGCTATCGCAAACCGCGTTAGTGTTAGCACTATGATTTCCACGTGTGTGTTCGAAGTATGACTTTCCAAATTCAAGATGAGATAATTGTTTGGCATAAAATGCATCAATGACATTTCTAAAATATGGTTCGAACTCAGGGAGAAATGGGTAAGCTTTCCCGGTTGTACTTGTCAAATATTGGGACAATTTCTCGCCGCAAAACGATTTCCCACAACCAATTGGTCCACATATAAATATCTTGGTTGGTTTTGACTTGTTAATTGGGTTGGATATTTGTGAGGTTTTTTCACCCATTTGTGAGAGTTCCATATTTGTTTTAATTAACTTGTTTTTATAAAGGTTCCAGAGAAGAAAACAGCAATTATGTAGTCGTCTTATAATAAATCTATCTTCCTCTGTGTTCTTAAAACCACTTGCTTAGTTGTTGTTTTTTTGCGGGGGGTTAGTGACGCGGATTCTTCTTGTATCATGATCTGTTTAATAACACCTGGTGGTCGGATTCTTTTTGCGTTTCCCAGTTGTATCACTGCCAACAAAAATACTACATTATTTCATTACTGAGACAAGGTTGTAGAACAGTGCTATATATTCACTGGTAAATAGAACATAGCTGGTCTTTGTTACTCAATTGTTATGCGCCACCAATTAATTTGTATACCAATAATTAAGAGTCACTGATGTATGTGTGAAGTGTAAAATTTCAACGCCATTTCCTTTTTTCAAGAACTGTGTTTGGCACAGTGACAGAAAAAATTAAAATATAAAAATGATTTAAATCATAAACACCAAGCGAACTAATTCCATATGGGGATCAATCTGATTAAAATCTGATGTAGTGTACGGGCTTTAATTATTTTGGCTATAAACTTATTTTAATTTTATTTGTTATTACTTTTGTTATTAATGCCTTTTTATTTTATTATTTTACTTTGATTTCGCGTAAGTAACAGCCAATTACAGCCCCCCTTTTATACAGGCTGTCGGTTGCTTACTTTTCAGTGTATACGGGCAATCTTTCTGTACATTATATTTTTTTACCCACTTGTCAATGAATAAATCATTAATAGAAAATTGCTAGTATATTTTGATTTACAAAAGAAATTCCACAGCATTTTACAATTGTTGTCATTACATTGAATATTTTTTTCACTTCCAACAAATGTGTACACTTCCTGATACATCTTTGCCAGCCAAGGTTCGTTTATTCAGTCATCGATTCAATTTTACATCGAACACTGAGCATAAGTATCTAGAATGGAAGTAAAAAAATAAGTAAATCGTAATGATTAGAACACTGTAAACAGCTATAGTAAACAATACAAACTGATTTTAAATCATATATCGGTCACCGGCCTATGGCATCGACGCAGAAAATTGGAGCAAATGAATATTTCCTGATCAATTGCGATGTGTTCCAAATAAATATTTTATTCCAGTCCAAATCAGCTCAATTACTTTAATAAAGAGTTATTGTATAATGTAAAAAATGTTGATACATTTTGATGAATATTTACAGCTACGGTTTCAATACCGTGGACGATTTTGACCCGATCGTCAACAAAACATCACCCGTCCCCAGGGCAAGCGACTGGAAAACGATACCGGTGTTCGGTCGAAGCGGTGGAAACAAAATCGTCACTCCCAGAATAAATACGCAAAATAACGATCTGAACTCGAACCATTCGAGCCACAATATAAACATAAAAAATGACTTTCGTTGCATTTAACAATGACAAACTTACCGAAAAGCCGTGTTTTTCTCGGTCGCTAACGTCGCTAGCCATAGAAGGGGGTCTGTGATTCGTTGACTAAAATCGTCGATAGTGGGTCTAATTAAAATCTCGTTACATAGGCATCGGGTCAGATGTATGTAGGGCGGAATTAAAAAAAAATCACAAAATCAAAATCAAAGTAGAATAATAAAATAAAAAGGCATTAATAACAAAAGTAATAAAAATTAGAATTAAAATAAGTTAATAGCCAAAATAATTACAGCCCGTACACTACATCAGATTTTAATCAGATTGTATGGGAATGTGTTTAAGTGGTTGGAAAATTCATTGTTTTTTATTTTGTCGTTATATAAGCAGTATATATGATTGAACCCAAGTATGCATGCATTCTTTTTAGTGCCATGTGTAGAAGTAAGACAATAATTAATAATACGTACCAATAACTGAAAACATTCATCAGTGCGGTATTGTGTTTAAATAATAAACACAACTCAAATTGAATACAGCACAGCAGCTATCACAGAATAGAGCAGACCCGGTAAATGATAAAATGGCAGAATGATAAAAATAGTTTAAACACTATTCCAGTTTCTGAAAATAGCAGCGATTGACATGTTGGTTCAAAGGTCACAAAAAACTCAGGTGGTATGCTGCTATTGCGAATATTTCATCTTAAATAAATTTGTTAATTCATGGCATGACACATTCAATATCACATTGATGGAACATTGTAAGGTCGTTCCATAGGAGAAGTGAAACATCAAAGTGAACAAGTTCATAGCGTGAAATACCGTGCAAGAATGATATTCCTATTAAATGAGCCGGGCTGCTGAACCGCTAGATCAATTCATGGTATAGCTGTGGGCTAATAGCTCGTCTTGGCAATATCTCGTCTTGTCTCGTGTTTGTTATGATATTTTAGTTATGTTTGAACGATTCAGTGTAGAGTTGATTGTTTTCAAATATTAGAATTAAACTTGTGAGTTTTGAAGCACATGAGTGACTGGATCTAGAAAATCATGAATATTGACAAAAGTTACCAATGTTGCAGGTGGAGTGCTTCAAATTTCAATGTGTAAGAAGCTTCTTTGTATTTTTATTGCTATTGCTGCTCACGTGTAAACTTTGCCCAACATCTGTGACTACAGATCATCTGTGCGCCCTATTCCAACGATCTCCAGTGACAGCTGTTCACATGGTAATTGTATTTCAGAGAGACTAGTTTGCAAACGTTCTGTAATCGCATTTTAGTTTCTTTAAGTACAAGGCAAGTATTTTCATTAGAAATGCAATTTATCAGACAAAGATTCAAGTTGCATAATTTTAATGTGGCGGTCAATGCCAATTAAAATCGAAGGTCAACAAGAAATATTTCGTTGGGTTTACTATTTAAATAAAAATGATTTAAATCATAAACACCCAAGCACCCATTTCATATTCAATGTGTTAAATACAAACCACAGTCTCCAAGAACTATTACAATGGACGCCGATAGATATATATAAATCATATTTTATGCTAGATACGGTTGATAATTTTTAATGTATTTAAAAAAGACTAAACATGTGTAATACTTCTTGTTTTGTCCAGTATGAAAAAATAAAACAAAACAAATACTTAATCCCAATACGAACGTAATTTTCGCTGCAATTGATGAAAATGGCAGAATGATAAAAATAGCTCAAACATTATTTCAGTTTCGGAAAATACCCGCAATTGTAACAGATTGGTTCAAAGGTCACAGCAAATTAGGTGCTATGTTGTTATTGTGAATATCCAATCATATTGGCTGTACGTTAATTCATGATATAACACATTCAAATGCATATACGCTTTCACCGAATTCACTTTGTGTATTATGTTCATGTGGAAAATACCGGTAATTTGGTTGAACATTCTGAGGATTTTGTTTTGATTGGAGGAGGGATACATCGAAGTATACAGACTCTTAGCGCGAAGATAGCTTGCTAAGATTGTTAAGATACTCCTGTATGTATTGCGGACTGTCGCACCACTAGATTAATCCATGGTGTAGCTGTGGGTTCAAAGCTTGTCTCTTCTAATAGGTTGAGTGCGTCAAGTTTGAAGCATTATAATTGCTCCTACTGCTCATGCCACGTGTAAATTTTGCTCATCATCTATAGCTACCGATCATCTGTTGTATGTAGTCTGATACAACAACTCTATTCAAACGGCCTGTTTTACTTAAGTGAAAATTGAATACGAGAAAAACTATTCTTCAATAATACATGATTTCTATTATTGTTTATTGTCGAATAAATAAAGATGAATCAGGTACATATACTCATACATCGTATAGGCATACTCTGACAATTAGTTATATTGTTGTAACAACATGTCAACGCCTCATTCATAGCCAATCATGCAGAAATACCATAAATCGTCCCCAAATAAATACACATTATACCATTGAATGCTTGAAAAATCTTTGATTGACCATGCATGCCGTAAAACAATTTTGAACAAGACTACAAACAAAACTAACATTAAAGAACAAATAGGTAAAATCAGTCAACAATAACATGCGAATATATATTAAACAATAACACCGATACAATAGACATGTGTTAGTTAGTCAAATGTATTTGCATCTTTAACACCACCCGGGCGAGAAGACACCATCGAAATTAGAGGGGTCGCCGGCTTCGTCGAATACTTGGTTCACCGCCGGCATGTAATATATACGGTGTTCATCTAACCGCTGACGTAATGCTTGTACTATCTCTGGATGATCGTCGGCGATGTTGTTTCTTTCCTCTGGATCATCTACATAGAAAGTAAGACGGCGTTTTATTAAATTAATTTTATTGTGGTGGTGCGTTTAGAGCAATAAAATGGCACACTTGTGTGTTCAACGCTGGTAAATGGGACAAAATATTAGCGAAGTCCATTTTTGAGCAGGTGTGCATCCATTTCATGGCAAATTATCACATAGTGATTAAGATTTTCAGAGGGGTTAGGTGAGAGGGGAGTGAAGCTCGTTTTATTGAAGCAGATTTTAGCATTACATTCAAGTAATGTTATCTGGGCTGCTGATCAATAAAGTATGATTGTGCTTTCAAACAAAATATGTAAATATAATTTTGGAATGAAGATAATATGTTGTGTGACAGTTTATGAATGAATGCTATCGCCATTCATTCACACAATACGCAAAATATTGTAAACGTCTGAGACCACGAGAATATCAATATGTTGTATACATATTCGACCTCACACAAGTTTGATCATGGTGGTGAAAAAAAAATCATGCACTGTTTGTTCATGTTTTGGCTCATCAGCATCCACACCAGCAGAATTAGACTGCACACATTGAGAGAATATCCCAAACTACGTCATATTACTCACCTATGACATTGAACAAGTATGTCACATTCGGTGGGGGCGGTTCATCACCAGTTGGTAAAACTGGCAACCCACTAGTTGGTACGTCACCATAATTGAACCAACCATCTGAAATAAATATACATTGACATAAATTAAATTATTCAATATTTTCAACTTGAATTCTATTTTAGCTATACAGAAATGTGTATTTACCTGATTGGTTGATCAATCGTAATGGATAAAATAGATCCGGATTCCCGGCAATCAGTTTATAGTCCCCGACTCTAAACACAAAAAACATACAATAATTTAGTTAAGAGATTTACATATTCGACACATTTATAATGTTTATATATATTAAAGTTTACCATAATAGTAAATACATACCAATAATTGTAACATTATTTCCGACAGTATCTTACGATACGTACATACGAGGTACTGTTTAAATCTCGGTACTAGTTAAAAATTGTGACAATTACCTGATTGCGGCACCAGGAGATATTGGGTCATCATCGATATTATACACGATTTCATTTCTGGGCGATGATTCATTTTTCGAAAATGTATCCCACATGTCCATACCGTCAATTTCACATGCTGTTAAATTGTTAAACGAAGTAGATTTCAGAAACAACAGATAGAAGCTATGAAAACCTTCTCTTGACATTTTCCGATTAGAAAATATATAATTATTTTAAACATTGTTTAACCACTTACAAGATTCAGCCCCGGCCAACGAGAGTATCGTTTTATGCAAATCAACTATGTGCCATAACCTAATTATTAAAATCAAAGCAAAATATTGTTGTCAAAATAACAATGCATGACTTGTATTTGATTGTTCATTTCTTATAGTTATTTAAATTATTACATATGTATTACATATTACTTATTCCTTATTTGCCGAGATGGAATAGCATTGGTATTGCATATTGTCTTGAATGTTAATGAGATAAGCGATAAAGAACTATTGTTGTTGTTGAACAATAAGACGTCCAACTATGGAATATGTTCGGCATACATGCATTTTGCATTCAATTGAAATTCAAATGTCAGGGTCCCGTTACAGGTCATATTATTGCTCAACCAACGGCAAACGTTCGATTTCTCACATTGAATAGAAACAAATATAAACATTATATTGGTCAGTATTACACATGGACAAGAATGGTTTTGCGGGTTGCACATTGTGGCATGTATCTTGGAATGTAAATAGGCACCATTGTAACTTACTCATTATTTTCATATCCGGTTTGCTTCAACATATTTCCATGGATGAATGCCGGTACGCGAGTAGCGCCCTCAAACAGCGTTGCAGCAATACCCCGTAATGGCCAATTTGACCCCGATGACGACGCCAACGCCCCATTCTGTGGAAATACACACAAGCAGACAGGAGTTTGGTCAACAAAACACAATAAAAATGGAACAACGCACTCGAAACTCGATAATGTCAATTTTTTAATTAATTCTTTATGAAAGAGGACACTAAGAATAAATATATAAAAACGATTTTCAACATTTTGATTTGAAATTATCAGATGAATCATTCAAAATAGAAAATATGCAATATTGAAATGAAAACTAACATAGACGCCACATTTTATAGGGACATACAACACATGCAGCTGTATTCTGATTTGAATAAACTGTAGTGTTATTAACTTTTGAGCAAATATATTGTCAACAAATTGAACACATGCAATGATGTACCAAATTCAAATTGAAGGACGCATGCGCAGTAAGAAGTTGATCACTTACGTCACCTATAAATATCAATAGCGTATCGTCCCACATATCACGTTTCTTCAACGCATCAACCACACTGCCAACTGCATCGTCCATCACAGAAAGCTTTCCTTAAAAAAAAAGAAAAAAATTACGTATCAATAACGAAGGTTAGAAATTATTTGTTGCAAATAAAGATGTCGATATATAAAGAGTATTATCAAGTGTGCATCTCTGACTTCCGGTTGTCGTACACAACACCAAACATTTTATAAAATAGATAACAGTTGCTCGCAATCATGCCCTGACACACTCAGTTGCAGTGAAGACAAATTGGCCTACATTGTATTGTCTAGTATTACGTATAATGTAGTTACAAATCAAGATAAATTTAAATTATTGTTACTTTCTGCATGTCGTATCTATAGATACAACTATGTTCACGTCATAAAGCATAATACATACCATAAAATCTTCTTGTTCGATCATCTGTGATATTGGCATACAACGCTTCATACTCTGGTGGAACCTAGGAAGACAACACAATATGTGTAGTGTTTTCTTTTAATATTTTACGTAATAATTGTCTCTCAACGTCTTGTTGACATAATGAAAACAAGGTGTTGAGAGACAATTCTTCCGTAAAAGAGTACGCCGAGAATCGACAATAATTAACTATGATAGATATTCAAGTTCGGGTTTATTGTAATGAATTGTATTCTTACAACTACTTTGATCTATGTTGATTACATTAATTTGCCAGCCACATAGTTATCACTTATTTTATTTAATGTTCTGTTGATTTTACGTATATGTACGTTGCTCATCTCCGTGCATAATAATATATATTTGAACGTATCTCTTGCATCTATGTATAAACTGTTCTATATGGTATTCCTTTCTATCACTCAGTTGTACAATGCGATTCAGCCCTAAATAGAACTCCCTCACATGAAACGCCAAAACCAAGTAACTTTTAAAATTGACATCTATTGTATGGTTGTGAAATTCATTGTCTAAGTATGTGTGTATCAATTTATTTTTACGTTACAAATAAGTAACCTAACCTAACTTAAATATCGTATGCAGATTCAGGCCTCGGAAAAAGCAATAACGTAATGATCTATCGTTACGTAATATACAGAGCAACGGCAACAACTAGAATTTGTGTAGTGTAGTATAGGACAGATGTGACTGATACCAAATTTATGTTTGGCCTATCGTATATGGCTGCTTACGGTTGGTTACATTCTAGTAGATATAATATTTTACACTATTGTCGTAATGTTATTTTACTAAATAACTGAATTACCTCAGGGGACTTTGCAGGCACGTCCATACTGAAGTACATAAATAGTGGATATTCCTGGTAGTGTCCATTAATTATTTTTACTGCTCTATCAGCAAGCATGAACTGTGGAAAAAAAGATGAATTATAAGTTTAGATTTATTTCATTATTTGGCTCAAAATGCCAAGACTTAGTGAAACTAAATTGATATAACTACATTATAAACTACACTCACCGCAAGATAATCGTTAGTTTGTGGTACCACTCCGCTGTTGTCATAGAAATCATACCCAGGTGTAGCTAGTAGAACACAATAATATTCAAAATTAATTGCTTCTTATATTTGTATGAAAACTGTTCTAAACTGAAGTCATGAGTCCCTAGATATGACATATCAGATTATCATATGTGGTCATGTGACCTCATTTATATACATATCTGTAACATCGCAATCAATGATGGAGATAGGCACATGCAACCAGTGCCATAGTAAAGAGAAGCGACACGTGATATAACTGAAATATCAGGTGACCATTTATGGTAATGTTACCTCGAGCTCATTAACATTAAAAACTAATACTTCAAGCAACTTTGACTATTCACGAAAAGTAGGTGATTCAGTGAATGACTACGTTGCTATTGTATAGATTTCAAACCATACACGAAATAGTCGAATGTTCCATCTCAACTACATACAAAACGGAATAGTAAACACTTCAAATACTGTGTTTTCAATCCTTGTTGAGCTTGTATATAAACACATTTTATTGTATATAATGTACACTGTCAACATATTGTTTATTCACATTGTGATATACATACATAATATTCCGTTCATTTTGCTGAAGTGCGAGGTACCCAGTGTCAGTCCACCATAGAACGAATCAAATCCACGATTAGTTGGTAAAAACGCTTCTTTACAGAATCCTAAATGCCATCTATGAAAAAAAATCACAAGCGCGTAATTGTGTTATATTATCATATATTCAAAAGACAAATACAATATTTGTATACCTTATGCTACTTTTAGTGGCAGCCCCACGTGACTAATTTTTGGGAAAATGTTAATTTACACATATTCAAAATTATCACACCCTGTTCAGGGGTCGAGTCTTCGTGCCATATTGTTATTATTGGATTATTTAGGCTTTCAGTTCTAAAAGACAGCTTGTTTGATAAATGCACAGAACAGAACAGAATAGTCTCAAACTGTTTGTACTAATGGCGAATACTGAGAAAAGGTGCACTTAACTTTCATAATTATTATTTCAAGATTATTATTGGTTCGAGAACTTGTCAGTTTCAGAAAAACCTGGTGCGGAAGTGCTCTATATTTTTAATACTTGGGGTCGAGGCAATATGCAATTTTCATATTAACCAGTAACATATCTTAGATTTGGCAATTATACACCACTATAGTAGTGTTTCTGTTGAGCGAAGGATAATTTCAGTACTTCATTATTATAGAATTATTTGCCAAACAAATTGTTTATAATAAAAAGTATCTATGCAATTCGAATGATTGTTTTGATGTAATTTTATTATTACATTTAATGCTATACTGAAGTATTTATTCAAATATTATTATACACTGTCACTATTATGAACAATGCAATTATTTTTCTGCTGTAAACATGTAATATGAACTCTCATAGAGTAACACATACACGACTATAATAGGTTGTGATATTGCACGAATTTATTTGGTATTGCAAATTCAATTATCGATTTTGCTTTACTTCCGCAATTTGTCCCTGCCCCACTGTGTAGTATTGTGACCGTAGTGGACATGTGTAATTTATTTTCGTTTCAACAATTTCCACCCTGAAGTACTCGATTGTATTACAAAGATAGCTTTGTGTGTGTGTGGTGGGGGTGGGGGAGGTGGTGGAAGGGGTGCGAACAGAATGTAAGACTGCAAAATTAACCCGGCAGGAAATAAAACATCGAATAACGTGACTTTATTTTTGAAAGCACATACGCCCTAGTACAACAGTACATTATATTTATACCCACGTTTTCAATTATGGAAACAACACCTCATATATATTTTGCATTCTACTTACTTCCCAACAATATGAGTCAGATACCCAACATCTTTGAGTCGCTGTGGCAATGTCTTAAACCTTAATGGTAGTCCACCAGGGTGAAGGTTGAGCAGAAGTTGATGCTGTAAATATCAAGCAACAGACACTAACTTCAATAAATAATTCTTAATAAATAAATTAATTTCTTTTAAATTAATCAGTTATATGCATAATAAATTTTCTTCAAGATATTAGGCATAATTTACTTTTTTGCACAATTTACCACGATTTCCATGATTTTCAATGAAAACCGTAGTTAAAATTTAAACATAGAACACAAACAGAATTCGATCAACATGAGGCTGTTTATACGTACCCATGCTATCTGCAATGTATAACTTATGTAACAGTAAAATAAATCATTACCTGATTTCCAGTTTTAAATGGGTAATATCCTGACATAAGAGCAGCTCTTGTTCTGCAGAATGAAATGTACTTGAGTTATTAGACTAGATCAGATGTACATTGCATGAGAGATATTATTCATGTTTTGTACCACTCTTACACGTTTGAAGCAAGTAAACGAAATTCGACAATCCTCCACCTGGCAATCGGATCAAATGAATGATCAAATAATTACATATGGCGGTTGTGAAGTTGACCGAATAATGTAAAACTACATTAACGATGCTATGGCTTACGGTGTACATGTCGGCTGGACATATGCTTGGTTGAATATGACGCCATCTGCGGCGAGCTGATTGAGGACTGGCATTTTGACTTCCGGGTTGTGCCATCCTACGTCATTCCATCCCAGGTCGTCTGCTAGTATGAGTACAATGTGTGGTGGTTTTCTGCGATCCTCTCTACTTTCTCTCGTTGATAAAACTAATGATTCAAATGTGTTACATTACTTACAGCATAGCGCAATCGTTATATATTGTGCACATTTTGAGTTAGTGCTATTTTGCACTAATAAAAGGAATAAACTAAATTAAAGATATGACTTAGTTTACAACACTTACGTAGATCAAACGAGACGCTGAATTGTTCGAGTTACGGACATCCAGTTACGAACATCGAATTACGAAACATCGGTTTATATATTAAAATCCACGGATTTCAGAAAATATTGCAATTTCATTTATTTCCAACGCGCCAAAATGTTAGTGGTCGCTTCAGCTTCTCAATTGATTATTCGTTCACATTTAATTTGCTAACGGGTTTTGATCCGACTAAGTTAGATTCACACCATTCGTAGCCGTTTCGAATCATATGTCTTCATTTAGACATGTAGTAGGTTGAGATTAAATAATCTCTGAGTTGAAGTGTAAAAATGCACATATTTATGTATGATAGATCATTTAGGAACAAGAATTTAAATATACTACTTACCAACTTCGAAAACTGTCATCTGCAATACGAATAGACAGAAAGCCGTTACTAGATGCGTTAACTTATTGGCTAATCCATCCACGTATTTACCATTCACGGTGTTCGTTGTTCGATTAATGTTTCCCCAATGATACTAAATTGCAATAAATTCATGGTTCAAGCAATGTAAAACTGTATACATGTTTGATACTTACAAACAACAGAGCTAAATACGTTAAATGCATCTTTACTGTGATGAGGTACGAGCACCTTGGCAGTCGTGCTTAAATTGTGAGGGTAGCCGAGGAAGTATTTATATATGTCCTTTATCGGACACATCAAAGGGAATTGATATATCGTACGGTATTACCATATGTTTATTTAAAAAAAGTTATTCTTTGTGAATACTCATATAGAAATGAGCAGAAATAATAATATTTAGCTCCATTCTCCACATAAAAAGATGGCGAAAACATCGTACCCATAAATCTATTACAATCTCATATTTTAGAGCATCTATATTTATCTACTTGATATTTCCATCACTCTGTCGTCAGTGACAGGCCAATATTGTCGGGAAAATTTAGTTTTTCAGAAAAGGCTGTTGAATCGCGTAGTTATTCAAAAGCCAGCTCGTCTGTTATGAAAATGCTTGAAGTTGAGCAAGTGTGTTTTTCGAATTTTCACCAGAGCTAATATTCCAGATTTTTATATTTGCTTGTTGATTTTATGAAACTGATGCAAACATTTATTTAACAAAGGTTTAAACGTTGTTCTCACCTTGTGTGGTGTGTCTTAGATTCTATGCCGTGAAAACAAGTGACATGTTTATTGTTAAAATGTTGCCAACATCTGTAAGGATTAACACTAATAAGATTTTCCACAAAATTAAAGTTACTTAATGCCAATGATGCAGATTATCACTCGAACTGTATAATTAGAGAAGTACTCGGGCTAGTGGCCACAAAATGCTGGACAATGTAAAACTATATAAATCGAGTACATGCAGTGGCCCCACAGCACAGTACAGCAGAGCTATATCCAAAAAAAATCAGTTAGAAGTAAAACTTGTAATAACACAATGAGCATGGGACATATGGCCATTAGTTCAAATCTTTCGCAAAATAGCCTTATGCTGTTGAGATAGAAGACAGATGACAATTTGGCACATTTTTCACTAATAGTCAAAAATACTAATGAAATGTTTAATTGTCATACCGACCATATGTGTTTATTCACCGTGGTAATTGCCAGGCCGAACACATGTTCACCTACCTTAGTATATCAATGGATTATGATGGCTAAAATAAATTATTAACAGATACGTATATTGTTTTTATAATATATATGCTGACATCAATGGGAATAAATGAGTAGTTCTATTACGCTGCTGGTTACTGCAGAATCAAAAACGTCTATTAAAGATTGTATATCAAGTTATAAGTTGACAAAACGGCAACACGAAACCGAAACGACTAAATATAGAGGCAAACAGCATTGTGGTTTTTCGAAGCTATATGTTTGTCCATGAAAGTGTTGACACTTGATCACATGATCTATGTTTGCTCTATTTTTGTACGTTTGTTATATCGCATTTTGCATTCGTTATATTATCTTGTGTGTTTTTTATATCTTGCCGTACATCAATTCTATTGTATTGTGTTGTGATTATATGATATAAGGTAATGTGTATTCGGTATATCAGGTACATTCATTATATCATATTGTGCATTTCGCATATTGTGTTGTACATTCGTCATATCTATTATGTATGCGTTTTCATTGATGTGGTACATTCGCTACATTGTGTTGTTCAGCCATTAAGGAGCTGTACACCTTTTTTTGCTTTGAAACCCCAAATTCTACTTTTTTGTATTTTCAATGCTGGACTACAAGGAGCAAACACTCAGTAGGAAAACAAATGAATTGGATGTTTTTATAGGGTGTAAAAATCAATTTTCGTTAATTGAAAACAAAAGCACATGTCATTGTTTTGAAAGCCATGTTTTAATTAATCAGCCAAAGACATAATAGACAGATAATTTGCATAATAGTCACCACCCATAGCAAATATAAACAGTCTCTTGCATTCAGTACAAGCTCAGACTAGTAATACAAGTATTAGTAGTCCAAGGTACAAGTTACACGCATTCCATTTACGATCGTCCACAAATTTAATTTCGTTGAATTTCTCGCTCTTCAAGCAGTCGACTATCAAACCGTCTTGGGGTCGACTATGACAGTGATGAAA